TATGCAAAGTGAGAGTGTCATTTTAAAAATTTACTAATTGCCACAGATCACCATGATTGAAAAACAAAAGCTCTGTACAACATAAGGCACAGAAATGGGATTTGACAGGTGTTTGCCAATATTAAGCAGCTGTATTTCCTGTAGATAGTAGAAAAAAATTCCCTAAAATTATCCTGAAAATGTGACAATAAGCATAGATTCCTGAGAAATCAAGAGAAAAGGGGATTTTTAGTGGGTAAGAAACATTCCATTGTCTTAACATGGGCTAAGTTTTTAAGTCTCAGAAAGTTAAATGGGTCTTTTAATGGGAAGTAATAGACACTCTCTTATTTCTACATCCCGGTGTGTTCCACAATGTCACTCATACATTGGGCAGCTGCTCCTTTCTTAATACTCCAAGCCTACAAAACTCCCATTTAGATAAAAGGACCGAACTCTGCTCTGTGCATCTCAATTACAATCTGTTACAAATTGCAGATGCAGGAGAATGGAAGACTGTGGGCAAAAGCCTATGTCTCCTGCAGACTCCGTGCAGGGAAGGGAGTGTGGCCACTCAGGCTTTGTCTTCTCTGAGTGTAAAGCTGACCAGTGTTGCTCGGCTCACCTTTACCTGTAGACTGGGGGACTCCCAGGGAACAGGGATCATATTACCATTTCCCACCTTCCTGCTCTTCTTCTGTTTCTTGCTATGCTTTCTCAGCTTCCTTTTCAGGCTTATTCTTTTCTTCCCAACCTGTAAATATTGGCCTTCTTCAAGGCTCAATCCTAGACTTTCTTCTTTATATATTTAGCTGCTATGTTGTTTGAGATATACAAGTTTTCATATTATTGGTTTCTTTTTCTTTTTTGAGACAGAGTCTCGCTCTGTAGCCCAGGCTAGAGTGTAGTGGTGCAATCTCAGCTCACTGCAACCTCTGCCTCCTGGGTCCTGGTTCAAGCAATTCTCCTGCCTCAGCCTCCTGAGTAGCTGGGATTACAGGCACATGCCACTATGCCCAGCTAATTTTTGTATTTTTAGTAGAGACAGGGTTTCACCATGTTGGCCAGGCTGGGCTAGTCTTGAACTCCTGACCTCATGATCTGCCCACCTTGGCCTCCCAAAGTGCAGGGATTACAGGTGTGAGCCACCACATCCAGCTGCTTATTTTCTTAAACTATGTTTGCTGTCCTTCTATAACTTTTCTCTGCAGATGAAATACTAAAGTCCTGGAGATGTAAGGTTATTTTAATTCAATTTTATGGAAAAAGATATTTAATGACTTGCCATACTACTAAGATTCTATCACAGTACTCCTCTATCTTACCAGTAAGAACAAACTCATCTTTCTTTAATCAACAGGTTGTCTTGGTGACATTTCAGGGAGGCAGCAAGCAACAAAAACAAATGACAATAGTGATATTAACTGAGAGGTGGGAGAAATGGAAGTGGGACCTGAAGACAGCCTGTTCAATAACAATAAGATGTTATTATTGCTTTTAAGAAATAAAAGTTTTGGCCAGGCGTGGTGGCTCACAACTGTGATCCCAAGCACTTTGGGAGGCCGAGGCAGGCAGATCACAGGGTCAGGAGATCAAGACCATCCTGGCCAACATGGTGAAACCTCGTCTCTACTAAAATACAAAAAAATATTAGGCAGGGTGGTGCATGCCTGTAGTCCCAGCTACTCAGGAGGCTGAGGCAGGGGAATCGCTGAACCCAGGTGGCGGAGGTTGCAGTGAGCTGATATCGTGCCACTGCACTCCAGCTGGGTGATGGAGCAAGACTCCATCTAAAAAAAAAAAAAAAAAGAAATATAAGTTTTTTAGAATTGGGTGTTTCCCCCAAAGCAGAAGTCTAATACAGAATGATAGCTATTTAAACTTGTCACTTATAAGTACAAATTCTCTGTGCAGATACACATAACTGGACTTCCTGGGTTGGTCAATACTTTTCTCTTATAATCTTATTTCTGTCATCTCCTTGGTCTGTGTCCTGACCTCTGACTTGTGGTAGGGCAATAAGTCACTAAAATCTTGAACCTGCCTCTATTAGGTTGGTGCAAAAGTAATTGTGCTTCTTGTCATTAAAAGTAATGGCAAAAACTGGCCGGGTGTGGGGGCTCATGCCTGTAATCCCAGCACTTTGGGAGGCTGAGGCAGGTGGATCCCCTGAGGTCAGGAGTTCGAGACCAGCCTGGCCAACATGGTGAAACCCCATCTCTACTAAAAGTAAAAAAAATTAGCCAGGTGCAGTGGCGTATGGCTGCAATCCCAGCTACTAGGGAGACTGAGGCAGGAGAATCACTTGAATCTGGGAGGCGGAGGTTGCAGTGAGCTGAGATTGTACCACTGCACTACAACCTGGGCAACAAGAGGGAAAACTCCATCTCAAAAAAAAAAAAAACAAAAACGTAATGGCAAAAACAACAATTACTTTTGCACCAACCTATTTCTCATTCTTTCTATTGTGTACTCATCTACTGATATTTCATTGTTCTGTAAATCTAGCTGGAATTACTAAAGGACACAATGAGATGAGGGCTGAATAAAATTTAGGTCCTAAAGAGGCATTTTTACTTTTTTTTGGTCTGTCTTCTCCCCTATCTCCAACATTATTGTGGAAAATCCTCCTTATATAGTTGTTTAAATAAATACCTACTCTGGGGTTTAATTTCAAGGGTTATATTCTTTCCTCTTCATCATTGTGGGAGGTGCATCCAATTATCAACCTTGTCAAGGATCATTATAAGGAAATAAAGACAATCAAATGATAACCAGAAACAAAACTCAATTTATTTGTCTGCCTGGGAAGGGAAGGTCACATCACTGAAGCACAAATTTGGCTGTTGTCTCTATGTATTAATTGAAAGAAACAGAGGGAAAGGAGAAAGCACACCAAATTTGGCAAGATACTGAGTTTGGGTCACTGCTTAGCTCTGAAGGTCATGCATTAAACTCTTCTCTACAACTGCTCATTGCACTGGTTCGCTTCTTAAAAGTGCAGGCACCATTCCCAGTTATGTCCGGAATGATCTGATGGACTTGGTGTCACTCAGGAAATTCGATGTGTTTGCTTGAAGTTGGCCTAATCGTTAATAGCATTGGTAGCACATTTAGTAAAAGGGTTCATCAAGTAAAACTCACTGGATACCTTTCTCTTTACTGATGTCTTTTGGAACTGCCAGATCAAATTTCCTTTTATTTCATTAAGGCAAAAGGCAGAGAAAGATACATGTGTACTTAGAAAAAAATATTACATAGACAGGGTGCCCTTCAAGGTTGTAACAGAGCCAAATATGGGGTGCTAGAACAGATGCTTGTATATGAATATTGACAGCAGCTCTAGCACAGTTGCCAAAAGGTAGAAACAACCCAAGTGTCCATCATCAGATGAATTAATAAACAAAAATGTGCTAAATACAAACAATGGAATGTTACTGAACCACAGAAAGGAACAAAGTAGCAATATATTTTACAACATGGAAAAACTTGAAACACATTATGCCGAATGAAAGAGGTCAGACATAAACGACCACATACTGTGACATTTACAGGAAGTATTTAGGTAAATCCATAGAAACAGAAAGCAAACTGGTGGTTGCCGGAGGCTAGGGGTGTGAAGATGACAAGCTAGTGCTTAATGGGTACGGAGATTCTTGGTGGGTGATGAACTTGTTTCCGAACAGAAGGGGTAGTTGTACAACATCATGAATATACTAAATGCCACTTTACAATTGTACTTTAAATGGTTGGTTTAAATGGTTCTGTGATTACTCCTTGGTTGTTAGGAAAAAGAAAGACAAAACAAAAGGGCAAAGAAGTTCATGGTTCTTTGAGTCTCACTGGAACAAGGAAAAAAATGAGGGAGCAGGAACTGCTGAACAACTGATGAGGAAGAATAAAGAGAAAAAAGACAGAGAAAGAAGGGGGTTCTACTTAAGAAACAAGGTACAAATATTTGAAAAGCAAACAAATAAAATGGATTTTCAAATGTTTTGCTATTAACTTCTTACAAACAACCTACAAAAAATGTAAATGATTTTATAGAGAGAGAATACAAGACATCCAAGAAGAGCCTTTTCAAGGCCAGTGAGAGAACGTGGCTCTGGGGGGTACTAGGCACAGACAGGGCCTTTGAAAGGGCAGGGGACTGTCACACAAGCAGATCTGCCACCAATTCCATTCCACAGCTTTGGAGGTCTCCAATGTACTCAATCGCAGTGTGACAAGCATCACTGTATTGTACTTTCTTTTCATTTCATTTTTCGAAATGAATGTGTAATAATTTCATTTCCTATATTGTGCATAAAACTGTTAATCTGATGGAATTGATAGAATATTAATAGAATGGAATTCTTCTGAAAGAGGGTTCTCAGAGTTCATAGGTCACTTTCATATATATTATATAGTGAGACCATTTTTAAAAAGCAATGACCTTCATGTCACATGAGACAGCCGGGATAAATCATGAGGACATTATGCCAAGTGAGATAAGCCGCTCACCAAATGACAAATGCCATATGATTCCACTTGCATGAAGTGGCCAGGGTAGTGAACTCATAGAGATAGAAAGTAGAACAATGGCTGCCAGGGACTGGGTGAGGGAAAACGGGGAGTTGGTTGGTGTTCAATGGGCATGAGTTTCAGTGTTGCAAGATGAAGGTCTGGAGATCCACAACACAATGGGGGTGTATTTAATACTACTGAACCATGCACTTAAAAATAGCTAAATTGGGCCATTTTAGATTGCTATGTTTTTACCCCCATTAAAAAAATTTAAATCCCACTCTTCTTGTTAAAATAGTAACTTAAAATTAAAATCTTGTTAAAATACTAACTTAAACATTGTTGGCATTGCCATTTTATGGCTGTAGAGAAATTATACATTTCACAAGTTTAAACTCAACCCGGTTGGGAATTGGACACTTTAAAACACTATATTAAAAATAATTATATCAACAGCAGCAACGACAACGAAAGGAGTAACTTAAGCAAAACAATGCTCCTTTAGGAAATCACTTTCCTGTTTCTATATCAAAATCAGTGGACTGTGCTTCTATGTCAAGTGAGTACCTTAAAATGTAAAATACCTACACATGAAAAAAACCAAAACTCAAGTAAAAACTGGGAATTCATTTGGGTCAGTGCTCCTGTGCTTATAAAAGAGAGGCTAGGGGAGGGATAGCAGGGGGTGGAGAGATAGGAGAGGGATAACATTAGGTGAAATATCCAATGTAGATGTGGGAGGGGGGAAGGATGCAGCAAACTACCAAGCCATGTGTATATCTATGTAGCAAACCTGCACGTTCTACACATGTACCCCAGAAGCTAAAGTATAATAATAATAACAATAATAATAATAAGAGAGAGATAGACAGACACAAACTACCACAAGCCTCAGGGTGCTGGAGGGGTTGGCTTGCCTCCGTTCGTCTGACCTACTGACTGGCTCTCTGCTTGCCCAACTGGATGTGGCTGCACTATTGGAATAGCACCTGTAGCCAAAAACACTGGCTGCTGCAGGACTCTCAACTGCTGTGTCTGGCGCTGGATGGGCTGTGGCTGTGGTTGCAGCTGCAGAGGCTGTGGTTGCAGCTGTGGCTGCAGTTGCAGCTGTGGCTGCAGCTATGGCTGCGGTGGCTGTGGTTGCAGCTGTGGCTGCAGTGGCTGTGGTTGCAGCTGTGGCTGCAGTTGTGGCTGCTGTGGCTGTGGTTGCAGCTGTCGTTGCAGCTGTGGCTGCTGTGACTTTGGTTGCAGCTTTTGTTGCAGCTGTGGCTTCGTTTGCAGCTGTTGTTGCAGCTGTGGCTGCTGTGGCTTCGGTTGCAGCTGTCGTTGCAGCTGTGGCTGCTGTGGCTTCGGTTGCAGCTGTCGTTGCAGCTGTGGCTTCGTTTGCAGCTGTTGTTGCAGCTGTGGCTGCTGTGGCTTTGGTTGCAGCTTTCGTTGCAGCTGTGGCTTCGGTTGCAGCTTTTGTTGCAGCTGTGGCTTTGGTTGCAGCTTTCGTTGCAGCTGTGGCTGCAGTGGCTGCGGTTGCAGCTGTGGCTGCGGTTGCAGCTGTGGCTGCAGTGGCTTCAGTTGCAGCTGTGGCTGCAGTGGCTGCAGTTGCAGCTGTGGCTGCGGTTGCAGCTGTGGCTGCAGTGGCTTCAGTTGCAGCTGTGGCTGCAGTGGCTGCAGCTGTGGCTGCTGTGGCTGCAGTTGCAGCTGTAGTTGCAGCTGTGGCTGCAGTGGCTGTAGTTGCAGCTGTGGCTGCTGTGGCTTCGGTTGCAGCTTTCGTTGCAGCTGTGGCTTCAGTGGCTGCAATTGCAGCTGTGGCTGCTGTGGCTGCAGTTGTAGCTGTCGTTGCAGCTGTGGCTGCAGTGGCTGCAGCTGTCGTTGCAGCTGTGGCTGCAGTGGCTGCAGTTGCAGCTGTTGCTGCAGTGGCTGCAGTTGCAGCTGTCGTTGCAGCTGTGGCTGCCGTGGCTGCAGTTGCAGCTGTGGCTGCAGTGGCTGCAGCTGTGGCTGCTGTTGCAGCTGTCGTTGCAGCTGTGGCTGCAGTGGCTGCAGTTGCAGCTGTGGCTGCAGTGGCTGTGGCTGCTGCTGCCTCAAGACAAAGGGGAGCTGGGCCCCCTGCTGAGGAACCTGAGCAGAGCCAGGCAGAGCCAACACAGCTGCCTGGGGCTGGGGCTGCAGACCACTTCTGGCTCCAGTGAGGTTCACGTTAAGAAGTTGCTGAGCAGGGAAGGCCTGCCCTTGAGTGCCCAAACCTTGCATGGAACCCTGTGGTCCTGGCTGAGGAAGGTGAGCAGCTGTGGGCTGCTGGGGTTGCAGCAGGGAAGGCAGCTGATGGAGCTGCTCCTGTGAGCCACTCAGAACCACAGGGCCCTGCAGAATCTGGAGGAAAGTCATAGGCCTGAGACCTTCAGGAGTATTTAGGAAAAGCTGAGAGGGTGCTGGAGAAGATGCCTGCACTGCACCGGACCTTGCCTCTGGTAGCGGACCTCCTGAGGACTGAAGGCCACTACCACTGATTCCTGTAGGAGCTGGGCCACCACAGCCAGGGACCTGCACAGGCTTGGAACTGCTCCCCAAATCCTGGGCTCCGTGGACTCGGCCCACCACATTGGAGTCTGTCCCGACCGGAATGGCCAATGGAGGGGGCCTGATAACTTGAATGAGATGCACAGAGGACTTCTGAGAATGACTTGGTGCCACAGAAGCAGCAGCAGGAGCAGGAGGAGGAGGAGGAGGAGGAGGAAGAGGAGGAGGAGGAGGAGGAGGAGGAGGAGGAGGAGGAGGAGGAGCAGCAGCAGCAGGAAATGGACGCTTAAGAGAGCTGCCTGCCTGTTGTGGGGGAAAACTGTTATCCCAGGAACTCTTTCCTGAGCTTGAGGGAAGTTGGGTGTAGGGAGGTGGATGTTTCTTTCCTTTCCCCAATACTGAAGCCTGGACCCACACAGGCTTAGGCTGTTCTGGTGCTTTCCCTGAAGAGAGCTGACTGACACTGGCTGGGCCACTGGAGCTGAATGACATCTTGTCTGGACCTTTGACTTTGCTCTGCACTGATTCCTGGGCCCAACTCACTGTCCTCCAAGCATCAGCCTCTGGCTCAAGCCTGAGACCAGCTGAATGGTCACCTGGCAAGGGCTGGCAGGGAGACTTCTGGCCCTTCTGCCTGGCTTTTTTACGTGGCCATATTTCACCACTGAGAAACGGATCATTAAACGACTGCATCACGCTCGGCTTGGTGTCCCAGGCCTGATAGCCAGCATCCCATCCAAATCCGAAAGGGTCTTCTACCTCCTGGGCTGGCCAGATTGGAAACGGGGGGTCAGCAGCTGTTACAAACTGACTCCCTTTAGCAAGCTTCTCCACATCCACTTCAGAAGGCATGGCCAAATCACAGGGTATACTTTTCCACATGTCTACCCAACCTTCTGCTTTAGCAATGTCCAGCTCATAAGGCTGACCCACTTCTTCTTCTTCTTTTTGGCCAGAAATTGACACTGTTAGCTCAGGAGGGGGTGAATAGTCAGAATGCTCCTGCTGAGGCTTTACAGAGGGCCATGAATACCTCTTGAGGCACTGTTTCATCGGGTCGGTATTCATCTTTTGCCTGTTTTCGGTGCAGGCAACTGCTACAGAAGGATCAAGACACAGTGGTTCAGCTGTCGCTAAGGTCAGTTGTCTCTCAAGCTCAAGTTTGTCCTCCTGGCTCCATTTCCGGCTATCTCCTGTCATTGACTTCACATCATGGGCCAAAGTCTGCATCGTTGGGCGTAGGAGAATATGCCTACTTTGGTAACCAGGGGGTTGCATATTACTGGACTGCCTGTAGTCACGGACTTCTACTATGACACATCCACTATGAAAAATGTTAACTGAAGCTTTATCCAGGACATCAGCCAAAGCAGGGGGTAATTCTTCTGCATCCAAATAGTTGAGCAATGCCGTTTCATCATAAGGCAGTTGAATGGTCTCTGCAAAGGACCCGTCTTTTCTCTGGAGCATCACAGAATACCCCTGATTGCCTGGGTATAGATTGACCACTAAACACGGCAAGGAATCTCTCCTAACAAGCTTTTCTAACAAATTTACATTGCTTCTCAATTCCTGAGCATCCTCAGGCTCTTTTCCACATTCCTCAACATAAATGTCATAAAGTTTTTCCTGTAGAGTTTTTCCCGCCCTAGGTGAGTATCTCCTGCTAGGAGGTCTCTGTTGGGCACTTTCAATGATATTCTCTGCGCGATCCAGAGCCTGTTCTAAATCGCGATCCATTGTAACAGAAAACAGAGGCCCTAAAAGGAGAGAAAACGCATGTGTGTTGGTGAAGCGGGGTGGCTGTCGCGGCTGTCATATTAATCTACAGGCCCACAAGACGCCGCCAAGTCCACACTGAGTCCCGCAAGATGCCACAAGTCCACACTGACTTCAACATGGGTACCTGCCCAGAAACCCGCCCCCAGGGAAGAGCTACAGACCACTGTTTGGGGGTTTCTAAAAACATCGGTACCTGAAGGGTCGTCGTCACGGCCGGCTGGGGCTTCGTGTCTCTGCCTGCTGGACCGGAAGTGAACCTGAGGGCCGGGGTCAGCGCCTGGGCCCGTATGTGCGCATGCGCACTCGCCGCACACCGCTGGTTCCCGATCTACTGCCTCTGTGGCCTCCTGGGCGCGAGGCTCACCCGCCGAACTTCCGGTTCTGCGGCCCGCACTTACATTCGACTACTTGCCATTTTACTTCGAAAGCGTACGTGCAAAAGCACAAGTCACCAACAACAGTACAGAGGCATCATTCTTACCATTCATAGACATCAGTTTCCACAGGAATGCCACTGCCGGGAAAGTCACGGAAAGTTGTCACCGCTCTTGGTGGAAACTTCAAGAATTGTTGGCTCTTTTGGAATCTCTTGCCATCAGTGGCAGGGCTGCTGCTGGTAATCATCAGCCACCGGGCCGCCTAATGAGCCCGCAGTAGCAGTGCTTCTGTGCAGAGACGTCACAGGTTTGTGGCAAGCGTCAGGATTCTTCGTGTCGTCGTCCGGTGAGCTCCCGCCTGGGGGTGTCCACTTAGATGCACACAGAATGTGACGTTCGTTTACATAACCACTCACCTTTTATTTCCCTATGTGTTGATTAGGGACTTGCACATTAAAAAATTATGTGGTGGGTCATTACATCGTCTATGGGTTACAGTTCAGGATGGTAGAGAGACATGAAACCATTCATTTCTCCAAGGTGATTTGCATCTGAGAAGGATGAGAACAGTTGCTCCAGATGATGGCAATAAATTTTCAATGATTACAGTAAACTGTAGACCTTAACTAAAGTCCTTATGACGGATTTGCAGGGCTATCATTCAGTCCCTGGTAATTTATGGGACATTGTTTTCCATAACTTTGTTGCTTTGAAATCTCCCAGTTTGTTTGTTTGTTTGTTTTTGTTTTATTGGACATGGTCAATAATGCTTTTCTGGTGATAACTACTCCATAGCCTGTTTTTTAAATCTGTAAGTGTGATCCAAATTCTTCCCCTCCCTCAGCTGATATCCCAGGATTCATCTCACTTATTAGAGTGGCATATCTGCCCGCCCTGCCATGGGATGGACTTGGTCTTCATTTGGTGAATTACCAGTGTCTTCAGTTGGGTTTCCCCAAAAGCATTCCCAGAGGAGAGGATTTGAGTGGGAGTAGTTTCTTTGGGTGCTAATCCTGAGAAACACTGGTGACCTGAGTCAGGGTTGGGAAAAAAAGACAAAGAAAGGTGTATTCCTGAGCACAAGCAGCTCTGGACAACTGGTCCATGCTGGGGACCATGGAAGTCAGTACAGAATAAGTCTGAGATTGTTCTGTTCTAGAGGCAAGGAAGCTGGGGTGTTTATTCATCCACTTCTCTTTCTCATTGACTGAGGACAGTCCTAGGAGCATTATTCCCTGACACTTCTGGTTGCCACATACAAGGGCCATCCATGCTGATGTGGCTCAAGGATGCCCTCAGTGTCACAGGTGCTTGCAGTAAGACTCCGTTTGTATGTACAGAATGGTGAGTGCCAAGGGGAGATGGACAGTGAACTGGCAGCATTAGCTACATTTAGGGCTGAAGGTAAGTGGGAGAAATTCAACCATTCATTCATTTTTCTTTCTTGAGACAGAGTCTTGCTCTGTTGCGCAGGCTGCTGGAGTAGAGTGGTGCAATCTTGGCTCACTGCAATCTCTGCCTCCCAGGTTCAAGCAATCCTCTTACCTCAGCCTCTCAAGTAGCTGGGACTATAGGTGTGCATCACCACGCCTGGCTAATTTTTGTATTTTTAGTAGAGACACGGTTTCACCATGTTGGCCAGGCTGGTCTCAAACTCCTGGCCTCAAGTGATCCACCTTCCTTGGCCTCCCAAAGTGCTGGGATTACAGGTGTGAGCCACCATGCCTGGCCCCATTCATTCTTGATTATGTAGATAATGTGCTATGTCATATATCCAGGCATATGGAGAAGTAAAATTGTATTCCATCTAAGTGAAATGGGCAATTTCATGTTAGGTTTTTTTTCATGTATTAAAGCCAACAAGACCAAAAATGGAGGATGTGACCCACTCTTGACTCCCCAGAGGGAAGACCCCAAGGCTGCATGGGCCACAGGTACAGTAGAAGAGGCTGTGAACCTGTGCGTGTGTTCCGACATGCATTACTAGGCCTGACAGTGCTTATGATGGCTTGGCCATCCCCTTCACTTGAGCTGCCTAATTGTCAGGCATTTCCACAATATGAGGTTGTTTTTTTTTTTAATTTCTCTGAGTGCACACCATCCTTCAAACCTTCCAAGCATGCTAATGAGTACACTGGTTAATTATAAGAACATCAACTGCAGCTCTCCCCTGTAGCAGCTCAGCAGAGAATAGCACAAGCTGAGAAAGCTCATGGACAAGCTAAAATTTGCTAGAGGAATAAGAGATTTCAATTAATTGCAAGATAATCGTCCTAATTTACAATTAGCAAACTACTTTGGTCTATACCCATTGAGGTCTAGGTCTAGGTCTTTGCCACCTCTTCCCTGCTGCCATTAATTAGAGGGACTAGCAGAGAATTTTAAAATACAGGGCCCAAAGACTGCAGAAGGTGAAGATACTGTTGCCTGCTGGTTAACCCTTCACCACTTGTTTTGTCACTGTATTTCTCCTGTGATCAGGCCCCAGCTGTAGTAAAGCAAACCTTAGGTAACATTGTAGCTCTGAGATTGAGTGAAGATCACTTTCCATAGCCTTCTACATCATTCAGTGCTTCCACATCTGCTAAGAGTTATTTATTGGATTTAAGAGCATCTCACAACCCATAAGTGCTGCACAGCATATTAATCTTTCCCCTTCTTCTTTTTCCCTCTTTTTCTTTTCTCAAACTCTATCCCACTTCCCTTTCTTCCAGTTGCCCATCCTTTAACCATTTTACTGAAGAGTAAATCAAATTGGATTTTGTTCTGTTAAGACTTTCATTCTGCTCTCTAAGTAGCCACATCCTAAGACAGGGTTTCTCCCTCTCTGTATTATTCCCATTTGTCATGGGGTTGTCCTGTCCATTGTAGGATTTTTACTAGCATCCATGGCCTCTACTCACTATATGCCCCTCCCATTTATGACAATCAAAAATGTCTCCATACACTGCTGAATGTTCCCTGGGGAACAAAATCATTCCTGATTAAGAGCCACCACCCTGTGGTATCACAAAACCAGGTCTAGAGAAATAAAGCAGCAATCTCTAAACCACAAAATGCTTTCCACCTCAATTTCTAGGATGGTTCAGTGACAGGTGTGATTTTTAAAATGTTACTTTTATTTTTACTGTGATGGCTGTTATGGATGGCCCTGAATTACTTTACTAATGCTCTAAATCTGCCATTGTACCTGATTAATAAATAGAGCCCGTGGCCAGTGGGAGAGATGCAAACAAAAACCTCATTAGATTTTCAGAAGCTATCTTTAAAAAAATAAACTAGCAAAGATATTTTTGTTCATCTGCCTGGTAAATGTCAATAACCATTTAAAATTTTTCTAGATTTATTTAACAGTTAAGAACCTTTGCTCATTTCAATAACGTATCTTTGGTCTTCATTTAGTATTTGTTCTTTCAGAGTGTGTTATCAGCACTTTATTTTGCTTTCTTAATGTCACAGCATCCCTGGGCTTGTTCTTTAGACCATTTTTTCTCTATTTACACTCAGTCATTTGAGGAACTGATCTGTTCTTATGGCTTTAGGTACCATCTACACCCTAATGGTTTCCAAATATATAGCTCCAGCCTGGACCTCTCCCCTGAACTACAGACTCATAACCTCAAGCTTCCTACTCAAAATCTCCTCCTGACTGCTGAATGGGAATTTTCTATTTAACATGTCCAAATTGGATTCTTTATCTCCTACCCAAACTTGCTCCTTTGGCGGTGTATTGGTGGGGTTCAAACAGGAATTGGAATCACTGTAAGTAATATGGAATTACATTTGCTTATAGTGACCAGACCCCACAAATCATAGGAGACCCTAGGGAAGTAAATATGTAGAAGAGGACAATTGGAGGATTGGAGAAAAGTCATTAACCAGGGATCACAAAAGGAAGCTGGTGAAGAAGTCTATGGAGGGCTGTTGTCTCTGCATCTGGGCGTGAGCCTGATGCTAATGCGGGTCAGTAGAGCAGGCAGCATTTAAGTAAAGCTGGACATGAAGTGAGAGAACAAGGGCCATCTAGAACACATAAAGACTAACTGGAACCAGCAAGGACAAACCTGAATCTGGCTCTCATTGCCTCTAACCTTGACGATTCAGGTGACTTGCAGAAGGAGCTGACTCCCTTTGCCATGGAGCTACACAGGCACCTGGGCCAGGACTCAGAAAAGCTGAAGGAGAATATCCAGTGGGAGCTGGGGGAGCTGGGGGCCCAGCTACTGCCTACTCCCCAACTCCCACCAATGTGAGCCAGTAGATCAGCGATGTGTGTGAGCTGCAGTGGTACCTGGTGCCTGACACCGACCTTAAGAATGATGGAGGCAGCAAACCACATTGCCATGTATGTACCTATGCAACAATCCTGCATGTTCTGCACATGTACCCCAGAACCTAAAGTGCAATAAAAAAAAAAAAAAGAATGTAATGGCTGCTGCTTCAATCACGACTTCCACATCTCATCAAAATTTCTCTTTTGCCCAGCCCTACCCCAGAATCATACCATACTCATGATGTTATGAGTCTAGTTCAGGAGACAGGTCCAGAGGAAAGGGAACTCTAGGAAACATAGTCCCAGCTTAGCCAAGTTGACACAGTGCAAAGCTACCCAAACAGCCTTCCCCATCGCAGGAAATGACAACTTCACTTTTCCAGTTGCTTGGACTAAAAACCTTGGAATCATCCTCAACTCTTCCATTTCTCTCTTCCTCCCTATATCCAATAACAAGTATTTGTTGAATGAAAATAAAAAATGATCTAAAATAGAAAACACATTAATTTGAAGAGTTTTTGTCTGGGGGAAGAGGAGGGAGTACCTGAAAGGGTAAGAGAAACATCGACTTCAACCATT